TTTGAATACTTTTGTGGGGTTAGGGGACGTCGGTATGAAAAGAAGCCAAATCTCTTTTACCTGTGAAATTTTTTGCTTTCTTATAATTAGTTAATGAAGTCTGAAGACAAGCAGCGAGGAGAAGAAATTAATGTGTGTGAAAAGGATTTTTGAAAATTGTGTACCTATCCTTAAAAAATTAAATACAAGTACATATAAAGTTGATACCCAAACTATATCGAAGAAGAAACAAACAGTTGGGATACACTTTATATAAGAAAACTTAATTTGTGAATATGATTTGCATTAAATTATACTTTTTTAAAGTACACATATTTTCTGGATTGCACCCCACTCAAACCATATATATGGCATGTAACAAGCGACATGTACAGCTTCTTCCAAAAAGGCGAAAGTGGAAGGGAATTACCCTTCCTTGCAAAAATATCTTCAATTTTAAAACAACATCTTAAAACTAAATATTAAATTAAAGAAAGACAAGAAATTTAATTAGAACCTAAAACGAAATCAAAAAATATATTTTTCTGTTTAAAACAAAAAGTAATTTTTAAGCAAAAAACAAAACCGACTTCAATTCTCGTATAAAAATTTAAGATTATCGTTAATTTCTTCATGATCCAATGCTCGGATTTAAACCAAATTAGTATGTGACCACCTGTTAGGTAACACCTTTTCTCAAAAAAAAAGAATTATAGAAATCGGTTAACGTGGTACAAAGCTATGCGGTAACATACATAAAAAATAAAAATAATAAAATATTCCGACGAATTGATAACCTTCTCCTTTTTGTGAAGTCGGTTAATAAAATCTAAAAACTAAAATAAAACGAAATTAACAAAATAAAAACAAATTAATTAAAAAAAAAATAAATGAAATAAATTTCTAAAAATTAAATTAAATTAAAAAATATCTTTCTTTTATTAGCCTAAAATTTTTTAAAAAATTCGACAAATTTTTTTTTTTTAAACGAACAAATAAAATTAGTTCTTAAAACTTAAATGAAATAAAAAAAAATATGCTTATTTCTAAAAGAATAACATCTTAAAACAAAACTAAGAAGGAAAATATTAAAATAATAAAGAAAAAATACATAAAATTTGAGTCAAAAATTAAATTAAATTAAAAAAATATATTTTCTTTTTAAAACAATGAAGTCTAAAAATTTAAAGTAAATTAAAAAAAGACAAATTTTGTTTAAAAAAATCGCTTACAACAGGACTCGAACTCGGATCTATCGTATGTCACGCCAATGCTGTGCTTACTCGGCCATTGTCTTTCATCTGTATTTCATTTGTCTTTCGAAAGACTTTTTACTGTTTTCGCCAGAATTTTCCTGTCAATGTTTGTTCCACAGAGTATAAAAGAAATTTGGTGCTCTCTGATGATGGTGATTTTTCAGAGGAACCGTTTTGTGTCGTGATTTTTTTTCGTCTATTTTTAAAAAGTTTTTTTTTTTAACGTGGATTCTTAAAAACTAGAAAAAGAGAATGAAAAACAATTCTGTCTCTTTTCAAATACGAGTAGTTTTAGATGCTCAGCAATTTCCACCACAAGCCAGAAAATGCTAAAACAAAGTTTACCAAGTATTTAAGTATTAAAGTCGCTTCGAATTCCCTGACAAATAGTTCCGCAGAGTACCACCAAAAAAACCGACACCAACTGGCGTATTTTGTAAAAGTAATTTTCTACAACTTTGTTAATTTATTTATGAGCAACTTCTACCATGTACGCACTCGTAGTGCCAAAAGTACATACAAATATTACAACTTTGTAAATTTGCTTTTCTAACTGTCGTTGTAGGACAACATAAGCCATTTTTTAAATGTTTTGTTTCCACTTTTTCCATTGCTGCTGCTTTTATTTCATTTTCGTTCTCTTACCAACCAACCTCAATGTGGGTTGTTCAACTCTGTGTGTGAGCGCACCATATACTGGCAATATTCATGTAATGCTTTACAATAAAAATCTACTACAAAAACGTGAGTCAATGTGATCCGATTAGAGACTTGTGACAGTAAAACACAAGTCACACAAGTCACACAAGGCGACCGATGCGACGAGGGGATATGCAAACTGCTATACATTTAGTTTGACAGTATTCGAGTTGACACAAAACCAATATTGTTACCATTGCCTTATAACTGTCAACATCAGCTGTAACAACAGCAGCACGAGCAGCAGCGCTGCCAACAACAAACAGCAGCTAACAGCTAACAGCCAACGACAGTAGTGACAAAAGCAACCACACAATATTTGACAATTTTGTACTTTTGCCTGGCGGACGAAGTGACAGTCAAATATAAGCACAAATATTCGGTTGGTGGCCAACGGAGTATCTACTCCTTTGTCGAAATAGAGCGTTAGTTGGGCGGTGGGCTGGTGTCTGTACATTTGCGAACGGTGGCTAGACAAACGGGCAGACAGTTCGACGTAACATATGACAATTGTACAAGTACATAGTTATGAGGGAGGCACACTGTGGCATGTATTGAAATATGCCATACTCACCGACATACATACATTCATATGTATAGGTATTTGAACAACGTGAAGCTTAGCGAACGAGTAGGTCTGTGTGACAGTCATTGTGTCAATGAACGTTTGATTGAACAACTCTTGCATTCCTACCAAATCCGAAAACTCATACTGAGCTGTTATTGACGTTGGTGGAATGCTGCACTGGCTATCCATTGACGTAGAGGGTAGCACGCAATCCATGCACACTTATAGTGGTGCTTTTGCATATGTCCATAAAACTATAGGTGTACATATAACTATGTATGTATTAGGAATATTAATCCCGGGATATCGGGATCCCGGCCTTTTTTAGATCGCGAAAATTCCGGGATTTTTGGCAAATAATTCCGGTATTTTCGGGATTTGTAATTTGCACTGATGGCAATATCAGAAACTCCTTTTCTTGACCAGTATTGGCTATATATCTTTTTTTAATTTAATAATTAATATTTTTTTTATAAATGTCTAGCTGATTATACATATAATAGCGTGCATTAGTAAATTTTGCACACAAAAATCAATATATACGCGAAACCATGGGCTAAATATAGTAAAATTGCGTTTTTAGTTTGCTCTGGCGACAGTAATTCAAAAATTATTATAGAAATTCAGTGAAATGTGCTTAGAGAAGAAGTATGGGTATCAAATTAAAGAGGAAATTCTGCAGAATTTAATCAGATTCAATATTTTGGTACACTAGGAGTGTTAAGTATTGAAAATGTCCTTTTAAAATTGTATCCTTGAAATTTGCAATATTTGTTTAAAAAAAAATTATATGTTAAGGACTTACGTAAACTCGATAACGTCCTTCTAACTTTAGCAGCTTAAAAAATTATCTATTAGTCCTTGTGAATCCAAAAAATTAAATTTTTTTTAATACTAAGTAAATTTCCTCTTTCATTTGATNTGAACAAAATTAATATACCCTTGTGCACAAGTGCGCTCGGGTATAAAAAACGCCACTTTAAATAAAGAAGTAGGTTTCAAACCCATTTATTTATTAGTTTTTTTATGGTAGAAGAGTTTCTCAAACAATATAGTTAGAAACATTTTTTGTCGATTTAAGTTGTTGAAAAGTAATGAATATCTAAATCCTGGGATCCTGGGATTGTGATAACGACATCCCGAAAATCCCGGGATCGTACAAGGCTAAAAAATTAACATCCCTATTATGTATGTGACTATGAATAAGATTTGAATCCGCTCAGTTGTGTATTTATGGAACACTTAAGCTGCATTCAAACTTGCCATTGCAACAGTTGAAGTTAAGTAGTAGTAGAAGCTTATGAGACTGCCACACACTTGTTTTCTTCATAGTGCTTAAATATGCATGAATGTGCATACAATATGTATAAATACATACATATGATGATATATGTATGTGCATGTATGTAGTTACATATATGCATAGATTTCTATTGAAACCAAGTTTGTAATGCAGTTTTTATTGTTTCGTAAGTGATTCTACATAAATATGTATGTACATGTATGGCTGAAAGGAAATTGAAGTACTCAAAAGCCGATTATAACTAATTATAAGAGATTTGCAATATGAGTTGCAACAACTCCTGAGTGCGAATAAGCGAAGGCATTGCTCTGACCTAACAAATAGAAAATGCAATTAACACCCAAATACATACATAGAAGTTGTCGCAGATCTTTGACAGAAATTACTTCAGATATTTTATTGTTTTTTTTTTCAGGCAGTTGATACTACAGGCTTTTGCAAATTGAGTCATAGCCAGCGATGGGCACTTTCTCACCTAACGTATAACAAGCAAAACTGTCGCATTTGGGGCCCATGTCATTCAAGAAAAAACTGTGCTGCCACAACGAGTTATAGTTTGGTGTAGTTTTCGAGCTCGCTGAGTCATCGGACCGTACTTCTTTGAGAATGATGCCGGTAGCTCTGTCACGACAAATGGTAAACTGTAAACCAAAGCGTGATATGATAATAAACCTTGAATTATTTAGATGGCATGGACTTGGACTATTTGTGGTTTCAACAGGAAGGTGTCACTTGCCATGCTTTCGCATGAAACAATGGCCCTATCGCAAACGAAGTTTCCGAGATCAAATGGCCGCCGAGATCTTGCAATTTGACACCATTGGTCTGCTTTCTCTAGGATTACGTGAAAAGCCTGGCCTACGCCAATAAGCCCGAGAAGATTCCAGAGCTGATTAGCGAGATAATGCTTGTTTTAAATGACATAAATACAGCCAGAACCATGCCAAAAAGTTAGGTAAAATTTTGATATTAAAAAAAAAAAACTAAAAATTTAGTTGTGTTTTATTTATTTATAAGAGAAATTATTGAATCACCCACAGGTAAAATGCAGAGTTGCCTTCTTTCCATTTAAACGAAACTTAGAACAAACAATCCATAGCAAAAAATTACAAAATAAAAGCTTTAAAAACAGATTAACCTTTTATGTATTTAAATTTACAAAAATACAAAACATTTTACGGACACTTACCTTTTCAAAATAAGCTCGCTTTAGTGGCAATCATCGAAGAGTCTGTAAACAAAAAAGATATATTGAAATATTATTAACTAATATGATTTTTAATAAAAATCAAAGTAATAAATTTTATACATATACGTACATATAAACATACGAGAGCAATTTTATAAATCAGATACTTTTTACACTTCCCGTGCAGGAACTTTTAATACAACACTATTTCTGTAAAATGTAAAATTTTTAACAATGCAATGTTTGTTATTAATTCCAGTTTAACAGCTACTAAATCAGACAGTGAAATTCGATGATAATGGAAAAAACTGAAGAAAATAACAGGTATTCCAACTGCTATTTTCTGTTTCCAAACGGCAGGAAATGGCTTAGGGGTAAGGAATTTGGGCCGAATGAAGAGCTAATCGTTAAAACAAACATCTATTTAGGACCTTGAAGAAAACTATTATTATATATATTTTTGAGGGATAAAATAATTGGAAATAACTAGACCAAAGTTATTGAGCTAGACGGATGCTAGTATGTTGAGAAGTTGAGCCTTTGTTTTGCCAAAATAAAGAAGTATTCAAAAAGCCACTGACTTAACAAACTGCTCTCATTAAATTAAAAAAATAAAATAAAATATATTTTACTGGCAAAAAGTCTTGGCCAACCTTAAACCTCTTTAATGACCTAGCTAAGACAATTGCAATTCAATCCATACGCACTTCTCCAACATTGACTTCCATTTGTGGGGAATGTGATCAGCAGGCACCACCTACAAATAGTCTCTTATTGTGCCATGATCTAGAATCATGGAAATGACAGTTCCTACCAGTAGTATGTAAGTATGTGTGCATATAATAGCTTAAGAACAAAATACCGTAATCAGAGTATCCCAAACCTTAGCTAGATTCAGGCGGCGCTCAAGGCTTTGTTATTGTTTGATTTTAAATCTTCTTTAGTCTTTGATGGCACTAATAAACTTAACGCCCTTGCTGAACAAAGTGATTAATGATATTCTACTGCTTTCAGGACCAGGTCACGAGGGAAAAGAGGGGGAATGGGGCTGCGACCTCAACTACCATAGCACCTGAGCAAATCCTTGCATTCCTAGTAGGTTCAAACTTAATCAGGGAAAAACTTAGAAAAGAGATAATAAAAATAAAAAAAACAACACTGGTGAAACACCAAAGAACTTTGACAAACCAAAATCTTTCTGGGGCTGTAAAACTAATAGAGGTACGCAATCAGTGTTGCCGCTGTGCGACTAAAGGGGCAATTTGACCCTTTTTAAGCGCCAATACCCTTTGACCCAACCTTTTTCTTTTTAAATTCAAGAGCGGAGCGTTCTAGCAGCGAAAATACTTCAAAATACATGTAAATTTGATTTTGACTTTGGTTCTCAGATTTATTCTTTTCGCTGGTAAAGAAAAGCAAAAATAATGTGGTGACCCTTTTTTCGTCAACTACCACTTGTTTGCGACTTTCTGAAAATTCTCAACGGAAACACTGTACGCAATGCTCAATGTGGCCAATAGATTAGCACACATCTGCCTCCAAACGATCTTTGAAACTTTTTCTATTTATTTTGTTCTAGCCATGCGCAGAATTGGTGTAACAGCAGTTGCCGCTATTTGCTCGGCGGATGACTGCTCTTAGTCGAAAGCTCTGCCGATCTAATTTGACACTTAGAATTCAGGAAAAGCTCTGAATGATAACAAAATGGCATAGCAATGGAATCTCCTATTAACGGCAAAGGGAGTCTTGCCGCGATTTCTACTGACCTTGGCTAGATATGCGCCCCACCTACTGAAGTATATACATATTTTCATATTGGGTTCAGTGGAGGAATATTTTTTTCGAATACAAAACACCAAACCTCTGTATCGGATCATAGCTCCAGAGGATTTGTTTTTTCTAAGGTAGTTTGCAAAAGCGAGTAATAAATAAAAGAGCTTAGAAAATGTATGGTTATATTACATTCACAGTAGAGAGTTAACTAGTATTTTGAACTAAACTTTTGGTACAGATATTTTCAGGACAGTAACTTGCAATAAAAATAAAAGTAACACTTCGAACGGGAGTTAACTCGTACTATAAAAATGGGCCTTATGCTTCAACATTTTAATCACCACTTAGTTACTCTACCCGTTCTTGATTGGTCCATTAAAAACCAGCTTTTCCATTCTCAAAAGACACGCCAGCCACGCAAAGAGACTAGCCTATTTAGTGCAGACGAATCCTTTCTAGTTAATTGAGAAAAAATATTTGTGCTTTCTGCAGCAGAGAACATAGTTTTTGAAAAATTTACTTCCTGCTTTTTAGCGCTTTGTGAATACCCACAATTGCTGGAGTTTACGGCAACCTCTTTTACTTGCTTGGGTATAATTTCTATGCAATGCAGTTTGCGCTGACTGACGATTTATATTTTTCCATACTGCCTTACATAAATAAATAAATAACTACATACGTATGGCAATACATATGTATGTATATATATCCAAAATAAACAACCGTTCCTGATGTACTTATTGTACCTTATTGATTTCGAATTTCATTGAATAAAGAAATGGTAAGCAAACGCCAACGAAAGTGCACATAAAAATACTAGAAAAAGGTACTTATTCACTGACTATTTTGCCACAAAATGGATAGCATAAATATACACAAATAAGGCAAGAGTGGCTAAAAAAAAATATACATTTGTACATATATACATACATGCATCGTTCACAACACCCCCGTTTGGGGGTGGCCGAAAAAGGAAGGCACAAAATCTTGCGCTCGGGGTGTTTACACGCTAAGCTTCGAATGACACGAAGTAGCAAAACAAAACAAATAAAATAAGAGAATAAGAAAAAATGCCGACAACAACAACGCCTGTCAGGTGGTCAAAGAGCGGACATACAGGGCATACAAAGGGGGTAACACTTGCTTTTTAAAGCTTAACGTCGGCAACATTGTTTCGATACTTTGCATGACTCATACTGTGGATAGAGGACTTTTGTAAATATGTATGCACATATACATATGTAAATACAAATGCATTAGTATACATGCCTGTGTGTGTGTTAGAGGGTGGTGAGAGGTAAAACAAAAGCAGCATAAGACAAAAGCTGTGGACTATAAACGCACAAAATGTAGTTGCACAAAGAAGGGCGGGCGGCTGCATAAGTTAGCAAGGACATTAAAGTAGTCGATGCAAAGGACATGGATAATGGATGTGAAAAGAAACGAAATCAACATGCCAACAAGTAAATATGTAGAAAAGTGTGAGTTTCGACTTTGGTAAAGTGTTCAAAATGTTTCAAAGTTTAACGAGAAATGTGATGGGGGTTGCATGTTTCACCGCTACAGCTGTGTGGGTACTAATGCCTGCGATGTGGTGTGTGGTGTGGTGCTTATACATAAATACATACGTAACTATGTGGTGATATAATGGCGCTTGACGGTGAATGCTTTAAGTCTGAATTGTGGCTAGAGTGCCGGAAGAGGCGCATTCGCCTGCCAGCTGCGTTCAATTTGTAATATTAAAACGATTTTAGGTAAATTAAAAAACAAAGGGGAAATAAAATATTAAGCTTGGTGTGGGTGTTAAGCCTTAAAACAAATTCTTAGAAATTCAATAAGCGAATTAAAGGAGGCAAATACTAGTGAAGAGGGGGAGGGGGTCGCAATATCGCTTTGCAAATAGTAGCACATGCGCAGCTAAAACACTTTAATAATTTATGAGATTGACTAACGGAAATTTAAGGTATTTATGTGGTTTGAATGTATAGAGTTTGAAGTTTATTATTTAGGTAAATCTATCAATCCTTACGTTTGTGATTTCTATTATAATATTTGGAGTTGACTTTACTATTATTAAAAGACGTTTACAGTTAGTTAGGAGTGGGTATTGGTCATCCTAATTTAGATCAAAACAGTCTTTCATGGAGAACACACTTAAGCTTCCGGCCTTTTGTTATTCCGCGTAGGGGTTTGTGTTTACCCCTATCTCCTTAAAGCCAGTTCGATCAAAGAATTAATGCCATCAGGTTTCTATTCCTATGACCTCTAGGTCGCTGCAGGAATCTCCATTTAATTTTTTAGACCGCTGGGATTGCCTTGACGAGCAGGCGATCATACGAAATAGCTTAAAACAACATATATTTGTAGCAGCTTGAATTTTGCTCATTGCACTAAAATTAAGTTAGAATGAAGAGCTGCAGCTTTTAAATTATGTACTTGGAAATATTCAAAACCATAAACTGTGACGATTGGAAATGTCGTTCGTAGGGATGATGACGACCCGGTGCATTAATTCTGCGGTGCGGCACCCATGACTGGTAAGTCACAGTAAGGGCGCCCAAAATAAAATGGAGGTACCTAACAAGTGCACAACGTCCTGACCGCACTGGCCTCGAATAACTGAAATTCTTTCAATTGTCGCTTTTGTTACAAGTTGCTTTAGGAAATCTTTTCTGCTCACACGGCAATACCATGGCAAAACATATTTCGCATTGATCGTTGACTTTTTTTGTAACGTTTATCTCGAAATCCAACATTTTGATTTAATATTCAACATATCCACCAAGAAGTAAATTGAAATGGTCATTGAACTTTTCAGCCTTACTCTCAGATTTGGCCAATAAAAGACGCAAATATTTTAAAATTTCTTTCATACAAAATGCATGCACAAAAGAAATAATAAAAAATTTTAAAATTTCTATTTCAATATTAAGCCACATAGGATAAACCAAAGGAAAATATTTCATAAACATATACACCTACACATACACATGTATGTATGCACCCACATCTATTCTAAGCATTCATAAAGCTCTTTGCAAGGAGCGCACGTAAAATCCCATACATACATAAATACAAACTTACATTCAAACATACATACGTACAAAATGATGCATGTGTACTACATCAATAATATATGCATACCTCTTCCGGGCAAAATGTCTGCCAGCAACTTCACACCCTTCGCGATGAGAACACCACTTGCTTATGAAAATGTTCTACAATATCCTTTTTATGTTATTATTAAAGTAGATACATGACTGCGGTGC